TGCTTTCTCCTTTTTCTCTGTGAGCACGTGCCCTCTGGCAATTAAAAAAAAAGAAAGAAATTATTAAACTTCTTGGGGCTGGCAGGTGGTGTGGAGGTTAAAGTGGCTGGATCCCACATGGCTGACTCTGCAATTCGAATTGTGGATCCAGTGACTTGAAAACCAGCTGGGCTGGGACCAGCAGTTGGCGTAATGGCTATGTTGCTGGACTCCCATGTAGTCAATCGCGGTTTGATTCCCGGACCCTGTGGCTTAAACTCACGCTGGGCACATGTATGTGTGTGTGTGCCCAAGATCCCAAGAGGAGAATGGAGGAGAAGGGACTGTGGCATGGCCATCCCCCCTGGGAGGTGATTTCTTGCTTTCTGTCTTTCTCTCTCTGTCTTTCTGGCGAGCACATGGACCCTATAACAAACCCCCACCCCCCAAAAAAAAATCAGCTGGGTGTGTGAGCATGCCCCAAATCCTGAGAGAATGGAGAAGGGATTGAGGCATGGCTATCTCGCAGGGGGGAGAATTCTGTTTTCCCCCTCTCTCTCCTCTGACCAATGCACACAAAAACTAGTAATAATGATAATTATAATTAAACTTCTTTTAGCACCAGCCTATTTGTGTCAGAACTTCATCCATCAGTCAATGATATGAGCAATTTATTATTTTTTTAGAGAGATTTTTGCTGTAGGGCGTGTGCACTTACTGAAGAGACAGGAAGTGAGAAATCACCCCCCAGGGGAATGGCCATGTCACAATCTCTTATCCTCCATTCTCCTCTCAGGATTTTGGGCATGCATACATATGGCCCGGTTTGAGTTTGAAGTCGCTGGGTCTGGGACTTGAACCATGATCAACCTGGTGGGAATCCAGTGACTTAACCATTACTCCATCTATTGGTCCCAGATGCAAGCAATTGCTTTCCTGACCCAGATAACAGCTTTTGAATCATGGAAGAAAGATTTCATCTTTTTGTGTGTGTGTGCTATTCACACACAGTAGTGACTATAGACACAACACACTTTTAAACTTAATATTCATTGTTAACATTTTCTCCACTTTAAGTCTAAACTACAAAACCATCAATCCAGCCCTGTTTTGTAGCATTTTGTGATTTCTACGCCGTAAATTCTCCCACCACTGTTAAGTACAAGCAGCCAATCTGAAGTCACTGATAGTGGTGTTGGCCCAAGACATGTGGCAGCCTAGTTATGTATCACTTCCACTATATAGTTACAATAAATGTAAACAATGTCGACAGCATGGATAACAGTGGAATGAAGTAAAATGCCTTTTAAAAAAGGTAAACTAGGGACAAGCAGTTGGCGTAATGACTATGTCGTTGGACTCTCATGTAGTCAGCCACAGTTTGAGTCCCGGACCCAGTGGCTTAAACTCATGCCAGGCATGTGTGCATGCATGTGTGCCCAAGATCCTGAGAGGAGAATGGAGGAGAAGGGATTGTGGCGTGGCCATCCCCCTGGGGGTGATTTCTCGCTTTCTGTCTGTCTTTCTCTGTCTTTCTGGTCAGCACTCATGCCCTATGGCAAAAACCTCTCTCTCTAAAAAAAAAAAAAAAGTAAAATAGTAAAGTGAATATAATAAAATTAAGTTTATTATTCTTTTTTGTTTTCAAGAAACACTTCTTTGCATTTATTAATAGATTAAACATCAAAAATACAAAATAAGGCTACAAACCAGTATGAGAGATTTTCCTTTTTCTCTGTCACTTGTAAACTGGATTAGAAGGTAATCCTCAGCATTTCAGAAATATTGTGGAATTACTGTCATTTAATGTACAATTGGACAAATTGCATTAAACTGGGAGTCAAGGAACCAGAGTTCTAGTTGCCATCCTACACGATGTGATCTTGAATAATTCTTCCAACTTTTTGATATCAGAAGCACCATCACAGAATGAAAGAGGTTAAATCAGGTCATCTTGAATGTCCTTTTCCCACCTCTATTATTTTGTAATGCTGAGAATTGAGAGAAACTGTTCCAGGCTGTTTGGAATCAGGATTTTAGAGCCTTATTCAATGAAGCATACTTTTTAAATATCTGCCTTTTTAAAAAAATCTTATTCTTATGTGTATATATATGTATATATACACACACATATATGTATATATGTGTATATATATACACACACATATATACATATATGTGTGTGTATATTTCCCCCCAGGTGATTCTGTGCATTTAAATATATGATCCTATGTAACATCAATAAAAATGTTTCTCAAAGATATATTTTTCAATTTTTGCTTTTTTTTTTTTCAACTTCCTTTTTAAATTTATCCAAGACCTCTTCTGGAGCTGTAGAAGTCAAAAACTTTACCACCTTGGGAACCAGCAGTTAGCATGGTAGCTATGTCGCTGGACTCCCACGTGGTCCACCGTGGTTCACGTCCGGGACCCAGTGGCTTAAAACTCACACCAGGCGCGTGTGCATGTGTGCCCAAGATCCCGAGAGGAGAATGGAGGAGAAGGGATTGCAGCATGACCATCCCCCCTGGGAGGTGATTTCTCGCTTTCTGTCTCTCTTTCTCCCTCTGTCTGGCGAGTGCACACGCCCTGATGGAGGAGCTGTGACGGCTACGTTTACGCTTCAGTTGTCAGATCTGTTACAGCGTTCTGTTTGGAGCCAGGTTTCCCATCAATGGTTATGGTGACACAGCCTTTAGGATCAACCGCCCCTGGAACTAAGGGAGGAGGTGATCTCTCTGGTTCCTTTTTCTGGCTTCTATCCTTGTTCTTTTTATTATTATTATTATTATTATTATTATTATTATTATTTTGGAGAGTTTTTTGCTAAAGGGCGCATGTGCTCGCCAGACAGAGAGACAGAGAGACAGAAAGCGAGAAATCACCTCCCAGGGGGGATGGTCATGCTGCAATCCCTTCTCCTCCATTCTCCTTCTTGGGATCTTGAGCACGCACGCACGCACACGCGCCCAGCGTGAGTTTTAAGCCACCGGGTACAGGACGCGACTGCGGTTGACTAGGTGGGAGTCCAGCGACATAGCCATTACGCTAACTGCTGGTCCCTTCTACCCTTGTTCTTCACATCAGCTTTCTTAGGCATCTTGGTGTCACAAAGGAGCTGAACACCGGCTCCAATTCCTTCCCAGTCCTGCTCCCAACCGCCTCAGCCCCCCAACCCAGTCCCAGCATCCCCGCCTCAGGAGGCGGTTCCAGTTACTATTCTTTTTTAAAGACAGGGTGGTGCTATCCTGATCCCACTGCCTCAGTCTCCCCAGCAGCTGGGACTACAGGTGCCTGCCATCCCGCTCCAGCTTTGGGGGGTGGGGGAAGTAGTGTGTGGCAAGAATTGAACTGAGACCTCCCATGTGGTCTCACTGCTGCCATACAGCAGCAAGAGTTAAACTTATTATTATTTTTTTTTTTTGGAGAGGCTTTTTGCTATAGGGCACGTGCACTCGCCAGAAAGAGAGAGACAGAGACAGAAAGCCAGAAATCACCCCCCGGGGGGATGGCCATGCTGCAATCCCATCTCCTCCATTCTCCTCTTGGGATCCTGGGCACACACACACACACGCCGGTATGAGTTTAAGCCACTGGGCGCGGGACTCGAACCGCGGTCGACTACATGGGAGTCCAGAGACACAGCCATTACGCTAACTGCTGGGCCCCCCCCCTTTTTTTTTAATCGCCAAAGGACACAGGCACACTCACCAGAGCAAAAGAGAGGGAGAGAGAGGGCACCGCCTAATGAGGAACAGTCACACTGCAATCCCTTCTCCATTTCACTATCCCTTCAGGATTGGAAGAATGCGTCCAGATAGGGTTACTTTTCAAGCCAACACAGTTGGACTGAACCACAGTCAGCCATGTGAGATTTGGCTCCTTATCCAATAGGCTACAGGGTAAGCCTCACAGTTTAATTTTTTAATGTCTATATTTAATGACAGGCTGGTAAGATTCCTGAAAATTTTTTTGCCAGAGAGCGTGTGCACTCGCGGGTGAGAAAACACCTTCTCCTCTGGGGCATGGTCTCTTTTTTTCCACTTCTCCCTTCCATCAGGACTTTGGGCACACATCTCTGGATGGGACTCATACCAGGTAGGCTATGTAAGATCTGGTTCGCTATACATAGCTTTTACTTAATCAACGTACTAAATGGCCGGCACTCCTGAAAATTTAACAATTACCTCTTACAAATCTGAGTGAGCCAGCTCCAACTCTCTTCCAGGGCGCCAAAATCCCTACCAGGTAGGAAGCAGTACAGCCCTACAGAACCCTTCTGGCAGCTCTCTGTAACATTACCTTTGCCCTCACCCTCACTCTGAGCATGCAACCCCCAGAATCACATTTCCGAGAAACCGGTCCCAGCAAGTACAAGACATGCAGCTTTGCTGGCTGGGCAACTGGAAGCAACAATGAGGTTCACTATTTGGGAGATTGAGAGCATAAGTGAGGTCAGCGCAAGATCGGGAACGTCACCTCTGCATGCCCTCTCAATGGGCAGGGTAGGTGGGCGCTCGCAGGTCCGAGGCCACCGCATCGCTGGAAGGAGCCCTTGGACACTGCAGCAGAAGCTATCGAGTCATCCGCTGGCAGGCCACAGATCGGCGCTGTCCAAGTGCTGAGGGGTACGGGTATCGCGGGTGTCTGGACGGAAGTGGACACTCTCGCGGGCCGGTGACCCATTTAGGTCCAAAACGACGAAGGAGAAAGCGAGGGACAGCCGTGAGGCAAGTGCAACCTGGAGCTGCGGCCCCATCAAGCATGCCGCTCTCCCGCGTGGACCAGCACTTGGAAGACGAATTAGGGATCCCTAGACTACAGGGTCTAGACTACAGACAGCCTACGCAGGGAACATCGGCAGGGGCTACCGCCCACTCCGCCCCGGCCGCGGGACTCCTACGGATTGGCTGCCGCGCAATACGTCACAACTACGCGACGCAGACTCTTCCGCGCCCATCCACGAGCTGGCCATGGGCGCCGCCATGTTGTGTTACGGAGGCTGAAAGGGCTTCCCCCGCGGCGCCTCGTTGCTCTGCATCTCAGAGGCACCACTAAGAAGCGCTGTCGCTCTAGACCCGCCCCGTGCGAGCCGCGCCGCCAGCGACGTCATCGCAGCCGCAGACAGCCCGGCGCCGCCATGATGGGGGTCCTCGCCGAGGGCGCGTAGGTGTCTTCATAAGATGCCGGCCCCGCGGCGCGCGGCTCCCCCCCAAGATGGCGTCCATGCGAGAGAGCGACACTGGTCTGTGGCTGCACAACAAACTAGGGGCCACAGACGAATTGTGGGCTCCTCCCAGCATCGCTTCCCTGCTCACGGCCGCGGTCATCGACAACATCCGCCTCTGTTTTCACGGCCTCTCGTCGGCCGTGAAGCTCAAGCTGCTGCTCGGGACGCTGCACCTCCCGCGCCGCACGGTGGACGAGGTGAGGGGCGCAGGGCCGGCCGCACCGTGTGTTGGCTGCGCCTCCCTCGCACCCCGACAATCCCACCCTAGCCCAAGTCCCTCCAGCCTCCCCCTGCCACCCCCTCCTGAGCCTCCCCTGGTGCTTCCTCGCAAGTTCCCACTCCGACTCCCAAACCTTCCGATCCTCCGTCACCCACCTCCGAACCTTCTCCGTGACCCTCCACCCAATCTCCCCCACGGCCTCCCGGCCTCGGCGTCTCTCACGCACCTTCAGAGCCTCCTAACCCGAACCTGCCCACCTCCTCTCCAGGTCTCGATCCTCACTTCCCTTCCACACTTTCCGTCCCCCGCCGACTGTAGGAGGGCGCCGCGGGAGAGGCCTGACGGCAGGGCACGGAGGCCAGAGTTCTGGGGAGAAGCCTTTGACTACGCCTGGAATTCCAGAGATCCGGGGCTTAGGAAGGTGCGGGCCGGGTCCGAGGAAGCGGGTCCCAGACGGCGTGTCTCAGCCCGAGCTTGGTTTGGGACTTTGTAACTTTCGTGTGACTGTCGACTCTAGTTTTGTTGTTTTTGCCTTACAAAGTATCCTGGTCTTTCGGTTCTTTTCAGTACGCAAATGTTTTTGCGTGGTTCTGATTAGTGAGATTGGTTTTCTGGGGTTTGTTAGATTGGTTTTTTGGGGTTTTTTTTTTTTTTTTTTTTTTTTTTTTATTAAACGGTATATATTGTGTCCCTTACCCTCTAAAATATACTCAGGTCGTTTGGCAAGATATTGAAACGCCATGGTTTTAAACATTCTTATCTGTTGCGTTATCGTGACGTAAGTTATAGTTGGTTTCTACGGAGGTATAACATGTACACGTGTGCATATTTGCTCAGCTTAATGCTTAATAGGCAGCGCGACTCACTGCTGTAATCTACACACAGATGAAGAAATACAACAGTGCTTGCTCCTGAGACTTTGTAGTATTATCAATTATATGCAGTCCTAAACGACAGACTTTGGTTTTGTCTGATTTGACTTAAAATTATATCATGTTGTGTGTGTTTTGTGTGTGGTGTGGGTGTGTCTGTCTGCTTTTGGTTAACACCATGACGGACCTCTCCAACCTGCAGCCGACTGCGGTTTAATTTTCACTGCTGTAAAATATCTCATTATCTGAGTCCAGCACTTTATCTTTCTATCATGGGGCAGCACTTAAGTGGTGTCCCCTTAGGTTTTTACTGTTGTGAATAATGTTACCCCCAATATTGCCCATGTGTTCCTGAGCTTGAATGTGTGTGTGTGCTGGGGAGTGGGGGATAGATTGTGCCAAATTGTTTTTCAGAATGGTGCTATCAAATTTATATTATGCACCAAAACATATCAATCTGGCGGATGTGTAAATATTGCTGGGTGGTTTTTTAAGTGTATCTGCCTAAATACTAATACAGTCAAAATCTTTTCATGTGTTTATTTGCTTAGTTACTGTTTTAATTTTTTTTTTTTTTTTGTAGATTATGTTTTTTCTTTTTATTTTGGAGAGGTTTTTGCTATAGGGCGTGTGCACTCACCAGAGAGAGACAGAAAGTGAGAAATCACCCCCCAGGGGGGATGGCCACCCTGCAATCTCTTCTCCTCCATTCTCCTAAATTATGTTTTTTCAAAGCCATTTTTCTTGCTTTGTCTTTTTTTTTTTTCCTTCCCCCTTTGTAAAAGTGTTCTGTCCTGTCATTCCCTTGTCCTTCCTCCCCTTCCCCATTCCTTTCCTATAGATGCTGGATAGGAGTTCTTTGTGGTTGAATATATTACAAATATCTCCGAGTTGTGGCTTGACTTAGCTTTCTTCCCAGAATATTGGGTGGACAGTGTCTCTTGGTTTTAAAGTAGATTGATACATTCATCTTTTTCTCTAAAGTTGGTGCTGATTGTATCTCCTTTAAGAAATACTTTCCCAGGGCCAGCAGGTGGTGTGGTGGTTGGGGGTGCTGGACTCCCACATGGCTGACCACGGTTTGAGTCCCGGACCTGGTGGCTTGCTCTCTCACTTATCTTCTCTCTCTCTTTTGCTCTGTCCCTCTCTGCTCAAATGAAAAGAAATAAATGAATAAATAAGTGAAGTGAAATAAAATAATTATTACTAAAAAAAAAAGGAATACTTTCCCTAGGACTGGCAGATGGCATGGTCACTAAGGCACTAGACTCCCACATTGTAAACTGTGGTTCAAGTCCTGGACCTGGCAGTTTGCTTTCTCACTTCTCTCTCTCTCTCTCTCTCTCTCTCTCTCTCTGGTGAGCATGTGTGCCCTAAAGCAAGTTAAAAAATAAATAGTATTAAATTAAAAAAATTTAAGGCTTTATTTATTTAATTCCACTTGTCATTTTTTAATTTGACCAGAGAAAGGGGAGGAGAAAGCAAACCACCAGGTCCAGGACTCGAAGCGTGGTCAGCCATGTGGGAATCCAAGCCTTTAACCACTGCACCATCTGCGATCCAAAAGTTATTTTTCTTTCTCTCTCTCTCTCTTTTTTTTTATTTAGAGAGATTTTTGATATAGGGCACATGTGCTTTCCAGAGAAATAGAGACAGAATGTGAGATGGCCACATCGCAGCCCCTTCCCCATTCTCCTCTTGGGATTTCGGGCATACAATCATATGTGCTCCTCGTGAGTTTTTAAGCCACCGAGTCTGGATCTCGAACCACTGTCGACTACATGGGAATCCAGTGATGTAACCATTACACCATTTGCTGGTCCCTAAAAAAAAAGAAATATTTCCGCTTGGAAAGCCAGAGAACCCTCCTTTTGTTACTTGGCAGAGCTGTATAGTTTTGCCTGTCGCTCTTGAATCTTCAGTCTACCTAGACTTGATTGTATGAAGCTAGAAATTCAGTTTTACTGTTTTTCACAGGGACATCCGTCTTTAGGCACTGCTGATTGAAATAACTGTTTCCATTCATCTTCCTTTGCTTGGCTGCACATCCAGGGGGCGGGGTAGGGTGGTGTGTCCTGGCCCTAGCTGCCCTCCCCCATATTGGGTGTTGACACCCGGTGGTCCCCTGCAGACCGTAGGACATTTCTGCTGTAGGTCTGTTTCTGAACTCTGCTTTGTTCTTTGGGACCATTTGTGTATTGCTCTAACAACCTGTTACGTAGTTGTCTTTTCTTTGTAAGTCTGGATGGTTAATAAGTAGGGCAAAACTTCCTGTGTTACTCCTCTTCAGGAGTGTTTTGACTATTCTTGGTGCCCCTTTGTGCCTCCATGAGTATTTTATTTTCACTTTTCAGGTTACATATTTAAAACCTATTGACTGTTTTGGTTTTTTGGTTGTTTTTGCCATTGGGCATGTGTATTCACCAAGGGTGGGAGGTAGAACCATTCTCTGGGGGGATGACTACACCATAATCCTGCCTCCATCCTCCTCTTAGGATTTTGGGCACGTGCACACACGTGACTTGAGGGTGTTTTGTTTTGTTTTGTTGCGGTTTTTGAGGCCTAGACAGAGATAGTAAAAGGGAAAGTGAGAAATCACCCCCCAGGGCAATAGCCACACTGCCATCCCTTCTCCATTCTCCTCCTGGGATCTTGGGTGGGCATGGACACACACAAACACACGCATGCATGCACACGCACCGAGTGTAATTTTCAAGCCGAGGTCCGGTACTGGAACCATGGTTGGCCATGTGGGAGTCCAGTGACGTAACTACTACACCGTCTGCTGGGCCCATGGCTGTCTTGTTTTTCTTTCCTTTTTTTTTTTTTAAAGAATTATTTATTTTAAATTTTATTTATTATCATTTTTCAATTTGACCAGAGAGAGAGAAAGTGAGAAAGCAAGCTATTAGGTCCAGGATTTGAACCATGGTCGGTCATGTGGGAGTCCAGCACCCCAACCTCCATGCCACCTGGCAGCCTAGCTGTCCTATTTTTCAAACCATCAAATACAGAGCTTAACTGCACAGTTGGCCACGTGGGATCCAGCTTAACTTCCATGCTACCCAACTGGCTCTGAAACCTGTTGGGATTTTCAGATTGAGTTGAGTGTATACATTTTGGGGCGAAGTCCTCTTAAAAATTGAATCTTATAATTTGTGAATTTGGGCATATTGGTTCAGAATTTTTTTTTAAAATTACTTTATTTAATTTAACTTATTTACTTTTAATTTGACCAGAGAGAGACAGCGTGTGTGAGAGAGAGAGAGAGACAGACAGAGGGAGGGAAAGTGAGAAAGCAAGCCGCCAGGTCCGGGATTCAAACCACGGTCAGCCATGTGGGAGCCCAGCGACCCAACCACCATGCCACCTGCTGGCCCCTTGGTTCAGATATTTAATATGTGCACCACGTGTCTGTCTCCTGACCCTATCCCCTTCAGTGTAGAGCAATCCTGCAAACCCAGGACCTTTCCCATGAGGGCACAGTTGCATTACCACTGCACCAACACCTGGTCCCAAGTGTTTTTTCACACATCCACATAGTTGATTGTCGTAGCTGATTTTAGGACATTTTGTCATCCCCAAAAGGCATCCTGTACTCATTATAACCCCTCTCCCCCTTCCTCCTTGTCCTGGGCAGCCACTAATCTTTCTGCCTGTGTGGATTTGCTCATTCGGGACATTTCAAGAAAATTGAATCATACATGCAGTCTTTCTCATCTGACTTCTTTCACTCAGCATGTTTCCAAGGTTCATTCACATAGCATGTGTCAGTATGTCCTTCTGTTATGTTGCTGGATGAATTACATGGCCAGACCACATTTTATTGATATGTTGTTATTCAGCAGTTGGTGGGCATTTGGATTATTTTAACTTTTTGCTATTGTGAATGCTGCTGCTATTAACATTCATGTACACAGTTTTGTGTGGACATAACATTTTCGGTTCTTCTGGGTATGTACCCAGGATTAGAACTGCTGGGCCATAGAGTAATTCTGTTCAACGTTTTGAGGAACTGCCAGACTTTTTGATGGTTACACCATTTTACACCCTTCCCTACTCTGTCTAGTGATTTTTGAGCATTCTGTTTCTCACATTTTGACAA